GTGCAGGCCAGTCAAGTTCTTCCACACCGATCTCGACAAACCATTTCTGTATAGACCTCGCTTTGTGCACAGGAGCATTGTCATGCTGAAACAGGAAAGGGCCTTCCCCAAACTGTTGCCACAAAGTTGGAAGCACAGAATCGTCTAGAATGTCATTGTATGCTGTAGCATTAAGATTTCTCTTCACTGGAACTAAGGGGCCTAGCCCAAACCCTGAAAAACAGCCCCAAACTATTATTCCTCCTCCACCAACCTTTACAGTTGGCACTATGCATTGGGACAGGTAGCGTTCTCCCAGCATCCGCCAAACCCAGATTCGTCCATTGGACTGCCAGATGGTGAAGCGTGATTCATCGCTCCAGAGAACGTGTTTCCACCTCTCCAGAGTCCAATGGCAGCGAGCTTTACACCACTCCAGCCAACGCTTGGCATTGCGCATGGTGATCTTAGGCTTGTGTGCAGCTGCTTGGCCATGGAAACCCATTTCATGACACTCCCGACGAACAGTTTTTGTGCTGACGTTGCTTCCAGAGGCAGATTGGAAATTGGTAGTGAGTGCTGCAACCGAGGACAGTCGATTTTTACGCACTACGCGCTTCAGCACTCAGCGGTCCCATTCTGTGAGCTTGTTTTGCCCACCACTTCACAGCTGAGCCGTTGTTGCTCCTAGACATTTCTACTTCACTTCACAATAACAGCACTTACAGTTGACTGTGGCAGCTCTAGCAGGGCAGACATTTGACGAACTGACTTGTTGGAAAGATGGAATCCTATGACGGTGCCACGTTGAAAGTCACTGAGCTCTCCAGTATGGCCATTCCACTGCCAATGTTTGTCTATGGAGATTGCATGGCGGTGTGCTGGATTTTATACACCTGTCAGAATCAGGTGTGTCTGAAATAGCCGAATCCAATAATTTGAAGGGGTGTACACATACATTGCAAAACAGTGTGTTTTAATCAATTATTTGGTGACGTGAATATATTTTGTATAGTTTCATCTAAAAAGGATAACTTTTTTTTTTTTTTTTAAGAAATTCACTTAGGAGGATGGTCCTCCCCTTCCTCCTCTGAGGAGCCTCAACTGCTGTTGTAAATGTGTGTAAATGTGACTGATTGATTATTTATGACGCAAAATACCATACCTAGGGTTGTTTACTAAAATATGACGATCCATACCGTAATGGTCCAACTCCTGCATAAACTATTAATAACAAATCATGCTTGGGCCATCTCTAAACCTCAATAAACAGAGAGACTAGTAATCCTTTTGGAACTTCATATACAGTATTTTACCCTTCACTGCACTCACTGCTGCAGTAGCAGCAAATATCCTGATTCCTGTCAGCCCTGATACAATGCTCCCTGGTTGGGAGACAAACTCACAGTAACCAGTGGGTGTATGTGTCTGTAGAGTCACCACAGAGTAGAGTTAGATGTGCTGGGGACCTTTGCTCTGTCTCTGTCTGCACAGACCTGCTGCCACCATTTTCTAAGAGCCTCTCTCTCTCTCTATCTCTCTCTCGCTCTCTCTCTCTCTCTCTCTCTCTCGCCTGTGACGAGAGATGCTGTCAGTGATACAGCAGCTGCATTTGACTAATATCCCCAAAAGGAGGGATTTAGAACCGCTAAATTGCATTCCTCTCTAAAAGAGATAAATAAATAAAGTTTGTTTACTATAATCTGTTCCTTGCCAGTGTGGTGAATATTGAGTGTGTTTATGCATAGAGAGTTAGACAGAGCTTGTTATTGGAGTCGGTGTTGCCCTCACCGTGTTAAATGGATCTGACTAAACTTGTCCCTCTCTGCCATGTCCCAGATGGCACCCTATTCCCTATGGGCCCTAGTCAAAATTAATGCACTACATAGGGAATAGGGTGCCATTTGTGCACCATTTAGGCAAATAATGCACCTAAATGAATTCCTGTTTAACTCCCTTTCTGAATATGAATTAGCATCCAACAAATATGAAGCTGAAAGAAAACAACAAATGCTTTATTTGCTAATGCATCTTCAATATCTAGAGCACTTATTTGACGTATAAGTGATAGGTCTTTCACTGTAATAGCTGTTTTTTCTTTGTTCAGCAGGCAGGTATAAAGGAAACAGTCTGTGGTTGAGTCGTGACAACCTGAGCTCTCAGTGTATTAGGACTCTGGTTGTGTCCTAAATGGCACCCGATTCCCTATGGGCCCTGGTCAGAAGTAATGCACCATATAGGGTATCATTTGGGATGCACCTATCCCATCTTCCCGAAAGCCCTATTTCCCCTGAAACCTTTGTACTGTAATATTGAAGGGACAATGAGACCACACTCTTTTTCAAGCCTCTTCAGAAAGGAGAGAATCAAGAAGAAAAAAAGTGTCTTGTCAAGTTCTCTAGTTCCAAAAAAGACACTGTGGTTCTCCCATATTCTGTTACAATACATTTCCCTCTGAAGTGAAAAGTCTTGTTGGTAACCTTTTGTTTCAGATACTTTATTATCCCTCAAGGAGAATTTCAGCTGGCCCATTGCACGCTTGTTTGAAAGTGTGTTTATTGTCAAATCAAAGTCCAATTATATTCTTTAGTGTTGTGCTATATGTAGGTGAAACCTACTTTTTTCCCTTTTGGGATTAGGCAGACAAACACTTTTTGGCATTAGAGAGTGCTACAGTAGATTATACTTCCCTTAGATGGTACAGAGTATGAGAAACTCCAAACCTTTTGAAAATAGTTTTCATTGTGAGGTAGAATAATCCTATTGCAGTATCACTTCCTTTCCGCCCAGAAGGAAACAAGGACGTCACTGGAGTAGGTGGAACAACTTGTACTAAATTCTATATGGCCTAAGAAGTGTCATTTTTTCCTAGCTAAGATAATGGGATTTCTCTAGAGGAAACCTCACAGTGAACAGCTTGAGGGATGTGATGTGCTTTGATAAGGCCATTTGTTTCTCAGTCTGTGGGGTATTATAGACGTGAATGGCAGTGTAAACTGAGTTTATCTCAGTGCATCCTCTCTGGGCTCATTGTAACCCAGGACAGGTGTGTTTCTCTGTCCCCCCACTGGTAAGAGAACGCAGGCTGCCACATCAGACAGAGAGAAATTAATCATCGAGAGACTGTGCCTGTCTGACGTGTGGATGTTGTCTCAGCGTGTTGTACAATATAATTATCGACAAACTGCTGTTCCGATGGGAGGAGGGAGGCCAACCTCTAAACTCGAGAGAAACCTGCTCGGTTGCAGCGAAGGATAGCTTCGTACTGAGAGTAGCTGCCATTTTATGTTAATTGTGAATGAACATGTGCGCTGTTAATAATATATTTTGGGGTTATTTGTATAATGTGTTTAGAATACTTTGTTGACATGGTTGATAAATGTAGTTATGGGTTACTGAGCTAAAGCTACTTTGTGTTTGACAGTTATATTGAAACATTGGTATATGTTTTAGTGAATTACAGTTTATGCTGTTGTGACTTGAATAAGCTTTGTACCCTACAAAACTATCTAGTTCCTGTAGATCTGTTGTTCTGTAAAATGTGATATTTTTGTAAAAGGATTATACTAAAGTTTTCATTGAGGAAACATAACTGCATCACTCTCGTGATTATTTCTCCCCTTTTTCAGGGGCGTAACACTGGCTGGCTGGTGCTGCCGTCCTAGAGCGGGGCGATGGCCAAGCTGATCCTAATTAGGGGGGATTATGGTCTGGCTCCCTCAATAGAAGGATAGAGACAATGGTGGCTGGTAGTTTATGGGGCAGTGGTGAACAGTAGGGCTGGGAATTGCCAAGGACCTCACGATACAATATTAACATGATACTTAGGTGCTGATACGATATGTATTGCGATTCTATATGTATTGCAATTTGATACTGTGATTTTATTGCAATTTGATGTTCCAAACATATTGCTCACTATATATCTGCTGCAAAGGGACAAGAGAGAGCCACTAAAAATCTAGTTTTGAAGATAAAAGTGCTCAAAACATGTTGGCACATCATTTAAAACATTGAAAAATAATATGGAGAACAAGCTTTAGGATGAGAAATACCAGAGTTTTCAACATAGAGATCCTATTAAATTACATATTAAATTAGAGTATTCAAATTCCTAATTCTATGGTTTTCAACTTGACCATAGATGCAGTAAAGGAGTCAATGGAATGCAGACGTTGCATTGACCACATTCAACAAATCTGATCCAACAAAGTGGATATTCATCAAATCCGTCATGATTTATGAAGTGTAACAGGCCCACAATGTGCTTACTTAAGTCCGATTTGGATAAATGTGTCTGTTTTCACTGCATACCATGTAGAAGTTGTCCCTTTTCAGGTTTAGAAGAAGTGACTGCTAAATGCTAACTCCCGTTCGTGTAAGCTTGTTAGCATACCTAGCATACAGAAATCGTTGATGGTAGTCAAAGTCGTTTCTAACTGTAATGCATTTGATTGGTAACGATGACATGAATATGTATTGGGGTTGACATCCATACAAACATTATACTCCAATTTCTACCTCAACATAGTGTGAAATACACATATAAACAATAGCCTAAATTATCCAGAGCGACTTGTAAGCGCATACACTTTTCTTTCTGGTCCCCCATGGGAATCGAATCCACAATCCTGGCGTTGCAAGCGCCACACTCTACCAACTAAGCCACATGGGATCAATGAGGAGGGCAATGAGGAGACTCAGGATCTTCCCCCACAGCCCTTTCCCACACAGCCCTTTCCCTCACAGCCCTTTCCCTCACAGCCCTTTCCCTCACAGCCATGGCAATTCCTTTGTTTTGGTTGAGTTCGATTAACCTCTTTACTGCATCTATATCGCAATGATGTCATAAAGGAGGGTGGGGTGACATGCTAGTTATCTTCACCTAGGTGACATGTTGGATGCCCTCTATGACATCATAGACCACTGTATGGCACAACAGTCCTATCAAACATTCTTAACACCACAACTCACCTATCTCTGTATAGAGTAGTTACTTTTTGAATTTTACTGATTGAGAGATGGCTTTGTACTCTTCCAGTATTAAGTTGTTGGTGTATGTAATCTTGGCATTACACCATCTGGACGGCAAGGTTTTTCGGGATAACCTGATGCCCCCCATGGGCATTAGGCAGTGGGCCAGCATGACTCACATTGAACTGAACACCAACACCATCAACTTCTATCAACGACCCTGGACCACACAGAACACCAACGAGACCACTGGACACAGTTTGCACAAGTGCACCGGAGAGGCTTGTGTTATGGTCAGCTTGGAACCCACTGCTACCCGGGTAGCTACAAACAACAGCTGGCACACATTATGGAGATGGATTGGGGGTAAGGCCCTGCGACAGACTTGTGTCCTATCCAGGGGGTGTACATCAAGCTGCCTCATGCTACAAAAACAGGAGATAGGCTCCTGCCCTATGGGCCATTGTGGCTTCGACAAGCCCACCACCACCCAGACCAGAAACAGTATTGACCAGAAATACAGAGATGTTAGTGCTTTGCACCAGACAACCAGTGATTCTACGGCCAGCCGCAGAACGCTTCGCCCCCGAGTAGCTGAGCTCAGGAGTAGGGAGAGAGCGGGAGCAAGTGAGCTTGTGTGGAAGAAGACCAACACCATCAACTTCCATCAACGACCCTGGACCACACAGAACACCAACGAGACCACTGGACACAGTTTGCACAAGTGCACCGGAGAGGCTTGTGTTATGGTCAGCTTGGAACCCACTGCTACCCGGGTAGCTACAAACAACACTAACCAACTCAGTGGCCTTGTCGTTAGCGTGTCCGCCCTGAGATTGGAAGGTCGGGTGGTTTATCCGCGGTCCAATCATACCAAAGACTCTAAAAACGGGACCCGGTGCCTCTCAGCTTGGCACACATTATGGAGATGGATTGGAGGTAAGGCCCTGCGACAGACTTGTGTCCTATCCAGGGGGTGTACATCAAGCTGCCTCATGCTACAAAAACAGGATATAGGCTCCTGCCCTATGGGCCATTGTGGCTTCGACAAGCCCACCACCACCCAGACCAGAAACAGTATAGACCAGAAATACAGAGATGTTAGTGCTTTGCACCAGACAACCAGTGATTCTACGGCCAGCCGCAGAACGCTTCGCCCCCGAGTAGCTGAGCTCAGGAGTAGGGAAAGAGCGGGAGCAAGTGAGCTTGTGTGGAAGAAGACCAACACAATCAACTTCCATCAACGACCCTGGACCACACAGAACACCAACGAGACCACTGGACACAGTTTGCACAAGTGCACCGGAGAGGCTTGTGTTATGGTCAGCTTGGAACCCACTGCTACCCGGGTAGCTACAAACAACAATAACCAACTCAGTGGCCTTGTCGTTAGCGTGTCCGCCCTGAGATTGGAAGGTCGGGTGGTTTATCCGCGGTCCAATCATACCAAAGACTCTAAAAACGGGACCCGGTGCCTCTCAGCTTGGCACACATTATGGAGATGGATTGGGGGTAAGGCCCTGCGACAGACTTGTGTCCTATCCAGGGGGTGTACATCAAGCTGCCTCATGCTACAAAAACAGGATATAGGCTCCTGCCCTATGGGCCATTGTGGCTTCGACAAGCCCACCACCACCCAGACCAGAAACAGTATTGACCAGAAATACAGAGATGTTAGTGCTTTGCACCAGACAACCAGTGATTCTACGGCCAGCCGCAGAACGCTTCGCCCCCGAGTAGCTGAGCTCAGGAGTAGGGAGAGAGCGGGAGCAAGTGAGCTTGTGTGGAAGAAGACCAACACCATCAACTTCCATCAACGACCCTGGACCACACAGAACACCAATGAGACCACTGGACACAGTTTGCACAAGTGCACCGGAGAGGCTTGTGTTATGGTCAGCTTGGAACCCACTGCTACCCGGGTAGCTACAAACAACACTAACCAACTCAGTGGCCTTGTTGTTAGCGTGTCCGCCCTGAGATTGGAAGGTCGGGTGGTTTATCCGTGGTCCAATCATACCAAAGACTCTAAAAACGGGACCCGGTGCCTCTCAGCTTGGCACACATTATGGAGATGGATTGGGGGTAAGGCCCTGCGACAGACTTGTGTCCTATACAGGGGGTGTACATCAAGCTGCCTCATGCTACAAAAACAGGAGATAGACTCCTGCCCTATGGGCCATTGTGGCTTCGACAAGCCCACCACCACCCAGACCAGAAACAGTATTGACCAGAAATACAGAGATGTTAGTGCTTTGCACCAGACAACCAGTGATTCTACGGCCAGCCGCAGAACGCTTCGCCCCCGAGTAGCTGAGCTCAGGAGTAGGGAGAGAGCGGGAGCAAGTGAGCTTGTGTGGAAGAAGACCAACACCATCAACTTCCATCAACGACCCTGGACCACACAGAACACCAACGAGACCACTGGACACAGTTTGCACAAGTGCACCGGAGAGGCTTGTGTTATGGTCAGCTTGGAACCCACTGCTACCCGGGTAGCTACAAACAACACTAACCAACTCAGTGACCTTGTCGTTAGCGTGTCCGCCCTGAGATTGGAAGGTCGGGTGGTTTATCCGCGGTCCAATCATACCAAAGACTCTAAAAACGGGACCCGGTGCCTCTCAGCTTGGCACACATTATGGAGATGGATTGGGGGTAAGGCCCTGCGACAGACTTGTGTCCTATCCAGGGGGTGTACATCAAGCTGCCTCATGCTACAAAAACAGGATATAGGCTCCTGCCCTATGGGCCATTGTGGCTTCGACAAGCCCACCACCACCCAGACCAGAAACAGTATTGACCAGAAATACAGAGATGTTAGTGCTTTGCACCAGACAACCAGTGATTCTACGGCCAGCCGCAGAACGCTTCGCCCCCGAGTAGCTGAGCTCAGGAGTAGGGAGAGAGCGGGAGCAAGTGAGCTTGTGTGGAAGAAGACCAACACCATCAACTTCCATCAACGACCCTGGACTTCACAGAACACCAACGAGACCACTGGACACAGTTTGCACAAGTGCACCGGAGAGGCTTGTGTTATGGTCAGCTTGGAACCCACTGCTACCCGGGTAGCTACAAACAACACTAACCAACTCAGTGACCTTGTCGTTAGCGTGTCCGCCCTGAGATTGGAAGGTCGGGTGGTTTATCCGCGGTCCAATCATACCAAAGACTCTAAAAACGGGACCCGGTGCCTCTCAGCTTGGCACACATTATGGAGATGGATTGGGGGTAAGGCCCTGCGACAGACTTGTGTCCTATCCAGGGGGTGTACATCAAGCTGCCTCATGCTACAAAAACAGGATATAGGCTCCTGCCCTATGGGCCATTGTGGCTTCGACAAGCCCACCACCACCCAGACCAGAAACAGTATTGACCAGAAATACAGAGATGTTAGTGCTTTGCACCAGACAACCAGTGATTCTACGGCCAGCCGCAGAACGCTTCGCCCCCGAGTAGCTGAGCTCAGGAGTAGGGAGAGAGCGGGAGCAAGTGAGCTTGTGTGGAAGAAGACCAACACCATCAACTTCCATCAACGACCCTGGACTTCACAGAACACCAACGAGACCACTGGACACAGTTTGCACAAGTGCACCGGAGAGGCTTGTGTTATGGTCAGCTTGGAACCCACTGCTACCCGGGTAGCTACAAACAACACTAACCAACTCAGTGGTCTTGTCGTTAGCGTGTCCGCCCTGAGATTGGAAGGTCGGGTGGTTTATCCGCGGTCCAATCATACCAAAGACTCTAAAAACGGGACCCGGTGCCTCTCAGCTTGGCACACATTAAGGAGATGGATTGGGGGTAAGGCCCTGCGACAGACTTGTGTCCTATCCAGGAGGTGTACATCAAGCTGCCTCATGCTACAAAAACAGGAGATAGGCTCCTGCCCTATGGGCCATTGTGGCTTCGACAAGCCCACCACCACCCAGACCAGAAACAGTATTGACCAGAAATACAGAGATGTTAGTGCTTTGCACCAGACAACCAGTGATTCTACAGCCAGCCTCAGAACGCTTCGCCCCCGAGTAGCTGAGCTCAAGAGTAGGGAGAGAGCGGGAGCAAGTGAGCTTGTGTGGAAGAAGATGGTGGAAGTGATTAATGGGGCAGAAGAGAGGAGGATAGAGGCTGCATGCTGCATGTTTCTGGCTCTCTGCTGCTGGTTGTACGGAATGGGCCTGCTGCTCACCATCAGTGTGAGAGGACTACTGCAGGTAATGTGATGTAAAAGAGAGATTAGGGGTATGAGGGGGTCTGAGAAAGGCTTTAAGAACAACAATAGAATAGGTCCAAATAGTGACATTTACCCTTTGTAGTTATATATATTGCCTAAGCTGACATACAGTATTACTTACATGTCACTGTAAAGACTTAAGAAATCACCACATTGTTATCAATTCATTTGACCTTGGAACATGAATTAAAATATGGTTTTGTTTTCCTAATAAGACTAAGTTTATTTTCTTTCCATAGATAATGGTCGCATTAGAGCTCCATGGAGATGAGCAAAAGGAGAGAGGAGCTGAGAGGGAGACAGACAGCTGTAAAGATGCTCAAACCGCTCCAGTGTTGGTGACCACCCGTGGTTCAACTAAGAAGAGAGCCCGCCGCCTCCGCCGTCAGTCCAACAAGGGGAAACACTGAATAACGTGCCCATACAGGACATTGTTCATTTGCATTCCAAATAATACAATATCATATCATATTTTCTAATAAATGATACTTGTTTTAGCATCATCTGTTTCTCAGTTCTTATTTTGTTATAGGAGTAGTTTGAAGAGGTTTGAAAATAATCACGAAATGACCACAAAATGACCACGAAATGTAAAAAGTATAGTAGCCATTTAGAATATGTAAAACAAAATACCACAGAAATAAATAAAATATTTCAGTTGATTTATAAAACACAACAGGGGCTTATACATGCTTATAACAACTACCAATGCATTATACCTGAATGCTTTAAGTAAAGTTTTACCGTCATATACAGCTGAAGCTGAAATGAAAGCCTTTTTAGATTCACTGTTGTTGCCCATCACCCTGTGCTGGGGTTTTGAGAGAGAGAGAGAGAGAGAGAGAGAGAGAGAGAGAGAGAGAGAGAGAGAGAGAAACAGTCTGCAGCACCCGGCCTCACCCTACTAGAATCTGAAGTCAAATGTCTTTATGTTTGCTGATGATTCTGGTGCTTCTGTCACCAACCAAGGAGGGCCTACAGCAGCACCTAGATCTTCTGCACAGATTCTGTCAGACCTGGGCCCTGACAGTTGCCAGGACCACAAATACAAATTCCATCTAGACACCGTTGCCCTAGAGCACACAAAAAACTATACATACCTCGGCCTAAACATCAGTGCCACAGGTAACTTCCACAAAGCTGTGAACTATCTGAGAGACAAGGCATGAAGGGCCTTCTATGCCATCAAAAGGAACATAACATTTGACATACCAATTAGGATCTGGCTAAAAATACTTGAATCAGTTATAGAACCCATTGCCTTTTATGGTTGTGAGGTCTGGGATCCGCTCACCAACCAAGAATTCACAAAATGGGACAAACACCAAATTGCAGAATTCTGCTAAAATATCCTCTGTGTACAACAAAAAACACAAAATAATGCATGCAGAGCAGAATTAGGCCGATACCCGCTAATTATCAAAATCCAGAAACGAGCCGTTAAATTCTATAACCACTTAAAAGGAAGCGATTCCCAAACCTTCCATAACAAAGCCATCACCTACAGAGAGATTAACTTGGATAAGAGTATATGGATGGTGTTAAAAGATAGATGGGAGGTATTGAATGGAGTTGAAGGATGGGACTAATAACAAATAACAACAAATAATAACAAGATAACTAATAATGTAAGCATACTGTGTCCATAATAAGTATATAGGTTGTATGTTGGGAGCTTTTGGGAAAGAGCACAGTTAGAAAGATATGGCATATAGCAGCAAACCGGATGGACATCATGAAAATGATCGGAGAGGTTGAGAGTAGAAGAAGTTCAGGAGCAAAAAACAAAAAAAAAACTAATAAAATATAATTATTGTAAAATTGACTGTGTCCATAAGGTTTAGATAGTAAGTATAGGCTGGAAGTAGAGGCCTGGGCATTGTTGTTCACTAATTTACCCCAAGTAGGGAAAGGATGGCGGGGTTGAAAAGTAATATAGGGGAGTATATATATAAAAAACATGGGGGATTGGAAGTGATGCAGACAATTACATTGATAGAAGTTACAATCTATCTGCAATATTAAGCAGATCTACCCCCTGAAAAAAAAAAAAAAAAAAAAAAAAAACTTGGAGAAGAGTCCCCTAAGTAAGCTGGTCCTGGGGCTCTGTTCACAAACACAAACAGACCCCACAGAGCCCCAGGACAACAACAACAACACAATTAGACCCAACCAATTCATGAGAAAACAAAAAGTGAATTACTTGACACATTGGAAAGAACTAACAAAAAAACAGAGCAAACTAGAATGCTATTTGGCCCTAAACAGAGAGTACACAGTGGCAGAATACCTGACCGCTGTGACTGACCCAAACTTAAGGAAAGTATTGACTATGTACAGACTCAGTGAGCATAGTCTTGCTATTGAGAAAGGCCGTTGTAGGCAGACCTGGCTCTCAAGAGAAGACAGGCTATGTGCACACTGCCCTCAAAATGAGGTGGAAACTGAGCTGCACTTCCTAACCAGCCAAATGTATGACAATATTAGAGACACATATTTCCCTCAGATTACACAGATCCACAAAGAATTTGAAAACAAACCCAATTTTGATAAACTCCCATATCTTTTGGGTAAAATACCACAGTGTGCCATCACAGCAGCATGATTTGTGACCTGTTGCCACAAGAAAAGGGCAACCAGTGAAGAACCAGTGAAGAACAAACACCATTGTAAATACAAATGCCAAGAGTGTGCAAAGCTGTCATCAAGGCAAATGGGTGGCTTTTTGAAGAATCTCAAATATAAAATATATTTTGATTTGTTTAACACTTTTTTGGTTACTACATCATTCCATATGTGTTATTTCATAGTTTTTATGTCTTCAATATTATTCTACAATGTAAACATTTTAAAAAATAAAGAAAAACCATTGAATGAGTAGGTGTGTCCAAACTTTTGACTGGTAGTATATATATATATATATATATCTTTCTCTCTCTCTCTCTCTCTTGCTCTGTCTCACTCACTCTCTCTCTACATGTGTGTTCTGGCTGTAGGGTATCAAAGCCTGATCTACTAGTCTGGCACTACCATCTCAGATCACATAGACCTACATCACACAATGGGTCAGTGCTGTATGTTTCATATCTGTTAGGAGTAAACACAGACCTAGCTGTGGTTTTTGAGCAACAACACTCTCCTGTATGACTCAGCTATTGACCAGAAAGCCAATCAATACTGGTTGTTCAATGGCAAGCCAAGCTCTCCAATTGCTCCCTGCTGAGACACACTACCCAACTAGCACAGAAACCATGTGTTTCTTAGAGCTTGGTGAGGGCGTGGTTGTCCTATGGCTATTTTGCACAAAACCTTCCCCCAACTTTCTGGGAATGGTGCAGGATACCCAGCTAGCACATCCCATTCTGAAAACCATATGTTTCTTAGGTGGGAATTTCAGTACCTCAGCATAGCGTTTCCTACAGGTTTCCTCATGGCTCTATTTAAAGTCATGTTCTCAGACCACTAAGAGAACTTTTCCATAAAAAAAAACACAAGAAAACGTTTCTAAGAGTATTATTTAAAAACATATACATTCCGTTCTCAGCATCAACAAAACTCTCTCTATCCTCTATCTTGTTAAGTGTATTCAGGTGAGTTGACCGCACCCACTAATTGGCCACACCTGATCTTAATGAAATGGGGTCTGTTTGAATAAACTAAAATGAACAGCTTCGTATGAGTTTTAAAAAACATGGCATGCTAGCTCCATCGTGGTGCCGCAGAGGACTAATTCCATGGATAAAAAACAGAAGATAATAGGTTCGAATCTCACTGACGCCATGCCACGATAAAACTAAGCATGTGTTTTCATGATTAATGCCTAAGCAAATTAATTTGCATGTGTCCTATCTGTGCTTGGAGTTCAAAACAGTTAACCCAAACTATTGCTAGCAGTGTTAATAAAAGTCTTATTGAAACATGTTCTCAGAACGTTATTTAATTACCTTCAAATAACCAATAATTTCCGTTCTCAGAACATTAATAAAACCACCCAGGAAAACCTTCAGGGCACCATAGTAAAAGTTTTTCAGAACCACCCTGCAACCTAAAAATTTACGTTCCCAGAACAGGCTACATTTTCAGAACTTTTAAAAACATTCTGTTTTACCGGTCAGGAAACATATGGCTTCGCTCCCAGAACCAATGGAAAACCAAAAACGTGCGTTCCCACACAACTTCCAAGGAACCACATGTGCTAGCTGGGTAGTATGTTTACCCAGCATCCCCTTTAGCAAACTGAGAAAACTGCTCTGTAAACCGCCAGCTAAAGCACTCCTTTTCACCAAGGCTCCGTCCCAAATGACACCCTTGTCCATTTGTAGTGCCCTACTTTTGACCAGGTTCAAAAGTAGTGCACTATATAGGGAATAGGGTGCCATTTGGAATGCAACAGAGGTGTCTGTGATTTAATCCACTTTTGGTAAATGTCTGAATGGGATGGGGCTGTTTGAAGACGTGAGCTGGCAGCCGGACAGGGCCGGCAGATGTTTAAACAGTTGACCAGAGAGTGAGGCTCTCTCTCCTTTTGTGAGAGGGGCTGGAGTGTTTGGACGTTTTTAAAAACAAAAGCTGCGTTGGAGATTAGGAGCTGTGTGTGTGTGTGTGTGTGTGTGTGTGTGTGTGTGTGTGTGTTATACACACAGAGAACCGGGCTCTCTGCTCCTCCCTGCATGCCAAGAGGGAGAACGGAAGGAAGGAGGATGGTAACAGTTCTCCCTTAAGTAAAATTAAAGAGATGACAAATGGCTCAAGCAGGGAGGAGATTGAGATGACGGGGGATGTTTGAGGAGGACAGATTTATTGAGCGTTAGGAACAGAGTGGTGGTGAGAGTAAGAAGAATGCGGTCATCAGCACCATGGCTGGCTGGCTGGTGTTTGTTATCCCATCCTCTCATAAAGCCCTGCTAGGCTGATTGATACAGGTTTATCTCTGTGTTACCAGGACGGCTAAACAGAGAGACTGCTGTAGGGCTAACAGACATGATGCTACAGTAACTGGGTGGGGTTGGTGTCAGTGGTGGTCAGTGCCGTTTAAGATGAGGAAGGACGATTTTATTTTTCATGAGCATGGCCTTATTTCTATTACAGCATATTGGATGACTGTCATTCATATTCCATTCACCCAGTTCAATGTAACAGTAAACTTAATTTTTTAACTGGGCAAGTCAGTTAAGAACAATTTCTTATTTACAATGACGGCCTACCCCAGATGACGCTGGGCCAATTGTGCGCCGCCCTACTGGACTCCCGATCACGGCCGGATTGTGATACAGCCTGGAAGCGAACCAGGGTCTGTATTGACGCATCTAGCATTGAAATGTAGTGCCTTAGACCGCTGTGCCACTCAGGAGGCTACTACATGATACAACAATTGTCCCTATACCCATCATGAGGTTGCTACAACCTAGCC